GCTGACTGTGACTCAGATCATGAGTCACAGTCAGCTCCTGGTCTAGTTTTTACTGACTGTATAGAGCTTCTCCATCTTTGGCTGCAGAGCACATAGTCAATCTGATTTCTGTGTTGACCGTCTGGTGACGTCCATGTGTAGAGTCGTCTCTTGGGTTGTTGGAAAAGAGTGTTTGCTATGACCATCGTATTCTCTTGACAAAATTCTACTAGCCTGTGCCCTGCTTCATTTTCTACTCCAAGGCGAAACTTGCCTGTTATACTGGTTATCTTTGGCTTCCTACTTTAGCATTCCAGTCCCCCATGATGATAAGGACATCATTTTTTGGAGTTAATTCTAGAAGGTGTTGTAGGCCTTCATAGAACTGGTCAACTTCAGCCTCTTCAGCACCAGTGGTTGGGGCATAGACTTGGGCTATTGTGATGTTGAATGGTTTGCCCTGGATTTGAACTGAGATCATTCTGTCATTTTGGCGATTGTATCCCAGTACTGCTTTTCCTACTCTTTTATTGACTATGAAGGCTACTCCATTTCTTCTGAGGGATTCTTGCCCGCAGTAGTATACCTGATGGTCATCTGAATTAAATTCACCCATTCCTGTCCATTTTAATTCACTGATTCCTAAGATGCTGATGTTCAGTCTTGTCATCTCTTGTTTGACCACATCCAGCTTGCCTTGATTCATAGATCTTACATTCCAGGTTCCTGTGGAGTATAGATCTTTGCAGCATCGGACTTTCCTTTCACCACCAGATACATCAGCAACTGAGTGTCCTTTCGGCTTTGACCCAGTCACTTCATTCTTTCTGGCGCTACTAGTACTAGCCCTCTGCTCTTCCCCAGTAGCATATTGGACACCTTCCGACCTGAGGGGCTCATCTTCAGGTGTCATATCTTTTTGCCTTTTGGTACTGTCCATGGGGTTTTCATGGCAAAGATACTGGAGTGGGTTGCCATTTCCTTCTCCAGTGGATCACATTTTGTCAGAGCTCTCTGCTATGACCTGTCCGTCTTGGGTGGCCCTGCACGGCATAGCTCATAGCTTCATTGAGCTACACAAGCCCCTTAGCCACAACAAGGCAGTAATCCATGAAGGAGAAAACACCATAGCATTCAATAAAGCTAAAATCAAAGAAACATTGAGATAATTAAAGTAGCTAAACCACCCAGCAAAGACAGGCCATTATGCATCTCCTTCTGGTAATTGTTAAAGCTTACATTTAAAATAAATGATATCCTGCTTTTTTTTCTCTTCCAGGGAACCCATGGCAGTTTACGTAATGCTCCTCCATTTTATCCCTAGACAGTAACCCTGTGAGGGAGGGTAGGCCAAGAATGAGTGACTACCTTGAGGTCACCCATTCATGTTCGACTGGGGACCGGAACCCAGATTTCCTCAGTTCTGTCCGACACTAACCACTGTGCAATAAACCATGATTACTTTACTCCAGAAAAGTTCTGAGAACTTGAATACTTGTTCACTACTTCGTTAATAAATGTTTCCAGAAGGTCAGGCCACAATGCACAACACAATGCATAGCTATTTAATTCTCTGATTATAACCACTGCAATGTATGTGCCCCCCCACCCAAAAAACCAGGAATTTATTTATAAAAAATTGTGCATTTGTTTTTACATGTTCAGACTTCAGTCACCTTCAAAGTATTCTCCATTTGATGCAATATACCTATTGAGACATTTCTTCCACTGCTCAAAACAGGCTTTGAACTTGTTGATTTTGATGCCTTTTAGTGTGTCTACCTTTTTTTTTTTTACTTTGTTTTGTTTAACCTCTTCCACTCTGGCAAAGCATTTCTCTTTGAGGTCTTCTTTCATCCAGGGAAGCAAAAAACAAAGTTGCACAGGGCGAGATCGGGTGAATAGGGAGGGTGGGGCACCAGGGTCACGCCCTTCTTGGTCAAAAATTGCTGCACACTCAGCGTGGTGTGGGCAGGTTGTTACACGTTGTTTGTGTAAATCAGTCATCACATAATAGGCAAATGTATTGAAAGAGTCTCAAAAAAAAAACTCACTTGAAGCCGAACGCAGCCTTTCACAACCCAGCTGGGTACACTGATGCAGAGGGGTTCCTAGAACACTCACCGGAGGGGGGGGGGGAGTCTGTACTACAAGACGCCTGCCCTCCAAAAGATAATTCCTGGGTTTTGCCCCCCCCCCCCCTTGTATGGCTGTGGTGGTGGTGGGGAAACAAGGCTCAGGCTGACAGCTTAGAACACAGCGTAGTCTTGGAGTCCTCGTGTGCACTGACTTTTACCAACCACTGTTAGATGATAACATATTTAATTATTTTTATTATTATTCATTTTATTATTCGTTTTATTTCTATACTGCCCAATAGCCAAATCACTCTGGGCATTTTCCAACAGTACATAAAGACAATGGCATAGATTATTATCAACATACATGTATCACATGTATTATACAGCCTAGTATGCTGCATGTAATGATGATGGTGGTGGTGAGGATCATGCATGCTGGTTCACTAGAGGAGAATAAATGATTTGCCTATCAGGAGATTTTGCATTCATAATGATTAATAAACATATTTACTTGAGTTAGCCTACTTTAAGTGAATGCAAGGGGGTAACCTACCATCTTCTAATACCACATATATAATTGCATCCCTGTAAACACTGTTTATAATGATTAAAATATAGAAATAATCACAATTGCTATT